GGGGGGGCTGGGAGGGCAGAGCTGTGGGGGGGCTGGGGTCCAAGCTGTTGTGGGGGCTGTGTGGAGGGATCTGCGGGGGGCAGAGCTCCCGCACGGCTTTTCACGCTCCCCTCTCGCCCAGGTGGCAGCCATTCGGCCTGCCAGCTCGCAGGGCCCCCCCGGCGGCTCCATCCCATCTCCCAGGGCCTGCAGCACCTCCCCCCGCAGGTGACCCCCTGGCAGGACCTGCTGCACCAGAGGCTGACCGCGCCTGCAGCTGGTAGGTGGCTGGGGGTAGGGTGGGGGTGGCCTGGCGTGGAACCCCCCATGTCCCAGCAGTCCCAGGCCCCCATCGCTGGGGTGCAGCCGAAGGGAGGGGCCATTGCTCTGACCTTCCTGTGCCTCTGACGGGGGGGCTCCGGACAGCTGGGAGGGGTGGGACAGGGATCTCCCTCCGCTCTCTAGGGTGGGGTTATGTGTGTGGGCCCAGTGGGAGTCTCCCCAGCTCTCTGTGTGGGGCTGGGTGGGCCTGGGAGGGTCTCCCCTAGCTCTGTGTGGGGCTGCGTGGGCCTGGGAGGGTCTCCCCTAGCTCTGTGTGGGGCCTGGGGGGCTCTGTCCCCAGCTGCTGCACTCAGCCCCCTCACCTCCGTTTCCCCCCAGGCGTGACGGCCGCCCCCGCCGGGCAGGGGCCGCTGGAGCCCTTGCTGGTTTTCCAGCTCTCTGACGCCGGGGACCTGTTCTACCAAACCCTGCTGCACGAGCCGCCGGCGGAGAGCGAGTCATCGGCAGCCCCCACCTCGCCCCCGTCCCTGCCAGCTCCTGCTGCGGCCAGCCAGCCCTCGCCCGCGTGGGGCGCCTCCCTGGGCTCGGGCAGCGAGGAGAGCGTCCGCCTGCCAGGGACTGTCTCCGAGGGCACCGCCGAGGCCGGGCAGGCAGCAGCCCCAGAGGAAGCCAGGCCCAGCGTGGGCCCCACCGCCCCCAGCCCGGCAGCCGCTGCCCGCTACCGCTGCTGGCTGAAAGCTCTCATCAGGGACTGGAGCCGACTGCCGGAGCAGAGCCAGCCCCAGGCCCCCCCCACCATCAGCCATCAGCGCCTCTTCACCCACGGAGAGCTGAGCCAGCCGGCTGGGGATGGCCTCTACCGCCAGGCCCGCCAGCTGCTGCGCCGCACCATGCGGGAGCGGGGCTGCCTGGCGCCCTGGGCCCTGGGGCCGCCCCCCACCCCCCCGGCCATGCCCCACCCCGTGGAGCCCGGGGCCTGGCCCGACGACCTGAGCAAGCGGCTGACGGCGTCGTGGGCGGGCGGCTGGGGCGAGTGGTGGGAGGAGAAGCTGGGTGTGACCAGAGCCCACAAGCTGCACGCGCTGAGGGACCGGAGACGGCGCCTGAAGCAAGCGCGGAGCCGCCGCAGCCTGTCGGGCAGCTTCACCTCCTCCATCACCTACCAGTCCGACCTCAGTGACTTCTCCGCCTGCAGCCAGCCCCCCAGCGAGCCCCCCGGCCAGGCCCGCGAGGAGCAGCAACCCCCGGCCCCTGTGTGCCGCCAGGACCTTTCCCCACCGAGGGCGGGACGGGGAGACCTGCCCCCAGCCCCTGGGCAGTTCTGGCCGGCCTCCCCGCTGGCCAGCAGCTCCCAGCGCAGCGCCCAGGAGGCCTGGGGCAGCCAGGACACACAGGACTCCTCCCAGCTGCTCTCGTCCCAGACCCTGAGCTCGCGGGGCATCCCCAAGGAGCGCAGGAAAACCCTGCGCGACTACCTGGCCATCTGCACCCAGCCCTGCCCCGAGCCGCCGGCCGAGCTGCCTGCGAGCCAGGCCTCCAGCCTGGGCAGCCAGCACTGGGGCCCCTCCTCCCAGAGCCAGCGCTCCACAGCCTCGCAGCCCCGCCGCAAACGGCCCCGCATGGGCTTCTGAGACCCGCCGCGGGGGGCGGTGTCCGGATGGGCAGAGGTCTTCGGGGACGGTGTCCGCGCAGCCACGGCCTGGCCCCTTGGGCTCTGGGCCGGTGCAGATAACTCAATAAACAGGGAAAGGCAGCACCTGGGCATTGTCTGTGCCGTGGGGCTGGAGCCTGCCGGCTGGGGTTTTCTGGAGCAGGCCTGACCCCCAGCACGTGGCAGCAGGTTCGTGCGGCCTGGGGGCTGTCAGCCGCTGCGGTTTCTCGGGCACCAGGCAGGGTGGGCGGAAAGCCGGCATTGCCGCTGCTGCCATGTGCAGGGGTGGGTGGGAAGCCAAGCTGGGCCCGTGGCTTGTTCCCCTCCAGGGTCCCTGCTCCGGCTGCCCCGTCCAGCCGGCCCCACACTGCAGCCGGGAGCAAGGAGAGAGAGCCAGAGCCGAGCTAGTGCGTGACTCCCCCGCTGCCTCCGCAGGGCTCGTCTGGGGCAGGGCCTGGCACCGATGCCCGGGGAGCTGGGCACGGGGGCAGTACTGGGCGCAGAGGGCTGTCCTGCTGCTGCTCGGGGCACGGAGAGCCCAGGCCTGTGGGTGTAGCTGGGGCAGGACGTTGGCACACACCTCACCAATGGGAGCGGTGAAACGCCTGTGTCCTGAGCGCTGCTTCCCCTAGACCTCTAGGGTCACGGGAGCAGTGGGGGCTCCCAGCCCTTTCCATGGGGGCTGGGGAACTGACCCGGGCACCCAGAAAAACCAGCAATGAGCCTGCTTCTGAGCAACGCGCAGTATGTACTTGCCCTGCGGAACTCACTGCCACTGGATAGCCCGTCACGTACATTCACCCTGCCTCAGTGGCTGTGGGAAAGGCCCCTCGGGGCAGGATATTCCAGAATTGCCCCTTGTGGGGTTTCCTGCCCCTTTCTCTGCAGCAGGAGCAGCAGCGAGTCGTGGGCCCCGTCAGCCCGAGCTACGTGGGCTGCTGGGCTGAGGATTTTCTGTGACAGATGCTGGAGAGCGAGAGAGGCTCTGGCCCCCGTCCATGGGGGGGGGTTCTTCCTAGCTCCCTCCCACCCTGCGGGGCCCCCAGTGCAATGGGCACATACTTGAGCTGCCCCACCCCACTCATCTCCACTGCCCCCTCTGTAGCGGGCAAGCCCTGCTGAGAGACAGCTCTGCCGGGCAGGACCTGCCCCCCCCCCCGCCAACAGAGAGCCCAGGAGTCCTGGATGGAGCTTGGTGTGCTTCACGGCCATCACAGCCCCCCAAGCTGGGGGGCCCCCCGCCAGTGGCAAGGGAAGGCAGCAGGGCTGTGCACAGACGCCAGGGGCGATGCGAGGCTCTGTCAAAGCATGAGTGGTGCAGAGACAGTGACTAGGGATGGGATATTTCCCCCTTCTCCTAACAAGGCCAGGGCTCGCCCCAGCAACGGAACAGGCAGCGGGTTTCAGACACACAAGGGAGTGTTTCCTCCCCCAACGCCCGCCAGCCTGTGGAACTCCAATGTAACCGGGTTCAAAACCCCCCGAAAGTCCCTGCAGGCCAGGTGCCTCACTGGCTATTAGCCAGGATGTCCGGGATGCAGCCCCCTGCTCCGGGTGGCCCTAGGCCTCTGGCTGCCAGAAGCTGGGACTGGATGACGGGAGGATACTCAAAATTGCCCTGGTCTGTTCCTTCCCTTCCCTCTGGGGCACTCAGCCCCTGTTGGCAGACGGGATAGGGGCTGGGGGCATGGGGCTGGTGGAGCGCACGATCAGTGGGGTGGAAGTGAGCTGAATGGGGAAAATCTTTCCACTTATTTTCATTCTTGGATGTTTTGGGGGGATATGTCCTGCCAGCGCTGCACCTGTCCCCGGGCTGTCGCGATCTGCAGTTGCTGGTTTCCCAGCTCTTTGCCCGCTGTTGGGGTTCCTTGGCGCCCGGAGATGGGAGCTGTCCCTGGGGGCTGCACCGAGGAAGACACTGCCCTGCCCACGTGCCCCCCACATGGAGAGGCTGCGGTGGGCTCAGGAAATTCTGTGATGTTCATTGCAGGGGAGTTACTGGCAGTGCAGGCACCACCGGACCCCCTCCGTGTGCAGCCCAGAGGGGCTGGGTCCTCCCTGGCTTCCCACAGCCCCGCAGGCCTCTTGGGGGCTTCCAGACACAGCCCGGCAGCATCTGCTGCGGCCCCAGGGTGCCCCCGCCTCCTGCACACCCCGCTGTGGGCCCCATCCTGCCAGTGTGATTGCTGCCACCTCTGCCACCCCGGGACTGGCCCAGTGAGCTCCAGGGCGCCTCGCCGGAGCCACCCAGCACCCAGGGCCACACGGTGACACCGGCTCTGGGGGTGCACAACCGCGGGTGGAGACACGACAAACGTGACCCCCGTGTGCCGGGGTGATTCACTCCCTGGGGCACACGCCCAGCGGGTCAGACCCAAAGGGCTGCGGCACAGGGTGCTGCCCCCCCCCCGCGAGCTGCCCACGAGCCCCAGGGAGATGTGTGAACACGGCCCTGAAACCTTCGGATTGACACGGAATGGCCACCAGCCCGAGCCTGCGCGTGTGCCCTGCACCAGCGTGTGCACACACAGGAACGTGTGCGCGTGCATCTGTGCACCATGTA